CTTCAGCTATCCCGATAAAGGCAAATTACAATAAAGCTGATTTCAGCTAGCCAGACAATGGTAAATTAAATCAAGTTTATCTAAATAAGGAGTTGCGGTAAAGACGGACTAAGGGAGTTGAGGAACGCCTGTTATAGTCAATTTCACACGAGCACTTAGGAATTTCATTTTTAGATTGATATTTCTGCACTGTCTTGGTTAGAGGAGTATACGATGCTTGAACAAATGGAAGATTTCAGAGAACTGAAATGGAAGTGTTCTAGAAAGTCTAGTAATGGATTATACTAGTTGTGTCATTTTGTCCGCATCTGATTAAAATACCAAGCCGAGAAAGAAAGGCATATTATGATGTTTACAATGATCAAGAAAGAAATGACATTTTGGTGGTCAAAACCTTAGAAGATATGAAGCCAACCCCTCAATTTTGACATTTGTCAAAGAGTTATAACCCTGAAAACATTAAATAGCTATTGATTCTTTTGATATTCTGTGAACTCATGTTTATGATTTCATTTTATTACGAGCATGAATTAAGAGGCAATGTTATAAAATTCTTTCATTCTTTGATCTTTGAAATAAGAGAAAGGAAAAAAATATTTTCAAACTGAACAGTTCAAATGTGAAAGGTCATTGAAGCTGGTGAGGCTCATTGTGCCTCTATTGGAGAAGAAGAATAAGCAATGTCAGAATACAAAGTATTTCCTCAATCTTGAAGTAGATGGTCTAAAGAGATCAGAATGGATGAAGAATAATAGCTTTTAGCATTTCCATATGACGTTGTCAATAACCCATCAAGAAGTAGATGCTCGCCATATTTGAAAGGGGCACATATCTCAGCCTGAATGAAAATGCAAGACATTGTGTTAGAAGGGTTGATCACTTCTTAAGTAGCATGAAGAAAAGCCCTCAAACTATTTGACAACACTACTGTGTAGTGACACCAGAATGAGAACATTTAAGTTATGATATGTTGGGGCCCGAATGAACCCACTTCATGTTGAGATGACAAAATTCAGAAGAATGAGGCATGAAGAATGAGCCTTATAATTTGAGGTGGTGGGGCATTTTGAAGGCCTGTACCAGTATAAGATAAGGTTGAGGCACGACTGAACCCACGTCATGATGAGAAAACAAGATTCAAACCAAGAAGTGTTGAGAATGAGTCTCGCAACTTGAAGTGTCAGGGGCAAATCGTGAATTTGAGCAGAGCTTACCTTGTAAAGCAAATCAACTGAGCATCGATCAATGGCAGAGTCCTATAAGAACAACTCTGAAAGCATAATTGAGCCAAGGACAAAATTGGGGCAACACAGTCATATTTCTTACTATAGCGAGATGTTGAGAGAGAAAACACTTTCTCCGAAATGAAGACAGAAAATAAAGATGACAAGAAGATAAAAAAAGATCAGAGGGCTCTTCTAAAATGCAAATTGGAAATTATGAGTTGCTACACAGGTATATGAAGAAAACCTAGGAAAAGAATGATCAAGTAGAAGAAGACTGAGTTCACCACTTTGAGGGCAAATGAAGATTAAATCAATATTTATGCATTTATGAGAACATCATTTGCATAAAAGATAATGCATTACACTGATACATTTAATTGCAGGGTTTCATGCATAAACACGTGATTTTGACAGGTCTTCCATTGAAAAGAGAAGATGCAGGATGTCAAAATCCCAAGTTAAAATGAAGATTTCAAGCCTCAAATGTAAGGAGTTACGTTTAAAGAGGCATACCCTGAAGAACAGAGAGGTCTAATCCACAGAAGAAGCATTGCTTTGAAGTGAAGACCATCAGATGTAGAAGAAAAACAAAAATTTTCGTGTATGAAGAGAGACTTGCACACATGAGATTGGAGCAAAGTTAATCTTAAGCCTTCACCGAAAAGGAGTGAAGCAAATCAATCTTAAGCCTTCACCAAAGAGGAGTGAAGCAAACCATCTTAAGCCTTCACCAAAAAAGAGAGAAGCAAATCAATTTGTAAGCCTTCACCGAAGAGTAGTGAAGCACCACCTTGAGCCTTCACAGAAGAATAATGAAGCAAACCCATTAGTAAGTCTTTCGAGCATGATGCTTAAATCCTTCGGGTCATCTGTAAGCCTTTAGAGCAAGATGATAAGTCCTTTGGGCCATCCATAAGACCTTCGGGAATGATGTTTTCACATGAATTTGGAAATAAAAAATGATGTTTTAAGAAGATGGAATTTTTGAAAATGAAGAATGCGATTTTTAAAATTTCACAATTTATAAGTCTTTCGGGCCATCAGTAAGTCTTTCGAGCATGATGCTTAAAACCTTCGGGTCATCTGTAAGCCTTTAGAGCAAGATGATAAGTCCTTCGGGCCATCCATAAAACCTTCGGGTAGGATGTTTTCACATGAATTTAAAAATGAAAACATGATGTTTTAAGAAGATGGAATTTTTGAAAACGAAGAATGCGATTTTCAAAATTTCACAATTTATAAGTCCTTCGGGCCATCAGTAAGTATTTCGAGCATGATGCTTAAAACCTTCGGGTCATCTGTAAGCCTTTAGAGCAAGATGATAAGTCATTCGGGCCATCCATAAAACATTCGGGTAGGATGTTTTTACATGAATTTGAAAATGAAAAATGATGTTTTAAGAAGATGAAATTTTTGAAAACTAAGAATGCGATTTTCAAAATCACAATTTATAAGTCCTTCGGGCCATCAATAAGTCTTTCGAGCATGATGCTTAAATCCTTCGGGTCATTTATAAGCCTTTAAATAAATATGATAAGTCCTTCGTGCCATCCATAAAACCTTCGGGTAGAATGTTTTCACATGAATTTGAAAATGAAAAATTGATGTTTTAAGAAGATGAAATTTTTGAAAACTAAGAATGCGATTTTCAAAATTTCACAATTTATAAGTCCTTCGGGCCATCAGTAAGTCTTTTGAGCATGATGCTTAAATCCTTCGGGTCATCTGTAAGCCTTTAGAGCAAGATAATAAGTCCTTTGGGCCATCCATAAGACCTATGGGTAGGATGTTTTCACATGAATTTGAAAATGAAAATGATGTTTGAAGATGATGAAATTTTTGGAAACTAAGAATGCGATTTCCAAAATTTCACACTTAGTAAGTCCTTCGGGCCATCAATAAGTCTTTCGAGCATGATATTTAAATCCTTCGGGTCATTTGTGAGTCTCTCGAGCAAGATGATAAATCCTTTGGGTCATCCATAAGATCTTCGGGCAGGATGTTTTTCACCAAGATAATAAGTCCTTCGGGCCATTTTAAACCATCTCGGAAGAGTGTTGGAGCAAGCCACCATATCATCAGACGTGGAAGAAAATCAAAGATTCTCGGGTACAAAGAAGTAGAGCAATCGATTAAAAGCGTTTTGTGCACGTGAGATGGAGGCGAAAGTCAATAAGAAGACTGAAGAAGGAATAGATGCTGTTGTCAGACAAAATTAAGTTAATTTTTTGTCTTTGCCACGTTCTTGTGTTCACAACAATGAGCAAAGAGGGGCAGCTGTAATACCCTAATTTTATCCAGACATTTTAATTTCATTTAAAGATGATCAGTAAATAATTTGAAGGTGTTGGTGCTCGATGAAGAATTAATTCAAATGATGAAGCGTGGAAGTTTGCTTTTGGAAGCTTTAGGTGCTCAATTGGAATTGTAATCGTATATGGAAATCGAGAAACAAATTGAAATTCGATGCAAATTAAGTGTCTAAAGTCCATTTACATCTTACAAGCCCAGCTAGAGTACAAATAATTACAACAACAATAACAAGACCCGAGCCCACAAAGCAAAGCAGGCCCAAGTTTGACCCAGTTACAAGACCCAACCCATTTTGCATCATTTCCAGCTCCCACGTGCAGCCTCCCACGTGAAATCTGCAAGCAAGCAACCTTAAGTCAAAACCAAACACATAACCCTGAAAATTAGGGGATGATTTCACCTAATCCCATTTTAATCTCAACAACCAACAAAGAAAATATGCAAGAAGAGGACAAGGGGCTTTCGGTGGAAAAAGGAAATAAAATGACCAAAAATCAGTAGCAAGAAGAGGACATTCCGTGAGAACCAAAAATCATCAGGGGAAGAAAAAGGCAGCAGAGAACACAAACGAGGGGGTTTTCTCAGTTTTTAACAGATACGAGGGGGAGGATTCGATCAGGGGGTTCAGCAACAAAAAGGAGAAATTAGGTGGAAACATAAAAAAACAAATTGTAAACAAGGGGAGGGATGTTCTGCTCTCAATAGCCAGTAACCAAGTAATATAAACAAAGGGTCTTCATTCCTTCATGTTTTTCTCCGAATAAACAAAAATAAATGGTAGTGATTTGAGGTATTTTCCATTTCATTTTTCAATTCCTAGCATGTTGTGTATACGTTGGCATTTCAAAATCAATAGAAAATATATATGGATTGGATATTTACTTGTGTTGTGCAAACTCAGATGGAGTCGTGTTGACTCCATTTCATTGCCATTCTGATTTCATTGTAGGAAAAGAAGAGTTGAGATTAGTAAATAAATATTTTTAATCAAAATAGTAGAAGGAAAAGAGAAGCCTTATGTTACTTAGGTCTTAAGGGTTTCACCATTTATGGCCTTGTCTGGAGTCAAGAGAAATGTCAAGAGTCTGTTAGGTTTATAGGAGATCGATGTTATATTGGGAGTCCGATTTGAGGTATAGAACAAAGGCGGAAAGCATGCAGTGGCTCACACCGATTTGCTAGGGGTTTGTTTATTTTGGAGTCTCGGTCGAGAGTGAACGAGAGAGAGAGAATTAGGGGGAAAACACCATTAAGGTAAAGACAATGGTGTCCGGATGAGGACTATGTGCGAAGAAAGTGGTAGTCGAGGCCCGCCACCACATACTCGGTCGTTTGGTGTCCATCGTTGCCAAGGAGCTGCTCAACGGCCAGAAAGTCGTCGTTGTCAGATGCGAGGAAATCTATATGTCCGGCGGATTCGTCCGCCAGAAGATGAAGTACATGAGATTCCTCCATTAACGTATGAACACCAAGCCTTCTCATGGCCCTATCCATTTCCGTGCCCCTGCCAAAATATTCTTGCGCACCGTTCGTGGAATGATATCGCATAAGACCACGCGTGGTGCAACTGCCCTTGCTCGTTTGAAGGCCTATGAGGGTGTTCCTGCCCCGTATGATAAGATTAACTTGTCGGGTCATTTTTCATCAGAGGTTGGATGGAATCATTACGATACCATAAGGGAGCTGGAGAAGAATAGGAGGGAGAAGAGAGATTGCGGCTGTGTGTGAGAGTTTAGGTATAAGTTTAGTCTAGGTTTAGTTTTTAAAGTTAGGTTTTATATAAAACTTTTGGGTTAATTATCTTTTAGCCACCGAAACTTAGAGGTAAGATTAGTTTTTGATCCTTCTAATTTTATCGTTTATTTCACTTTAATCATTAATAAGGATTGTTTTCGAATTTATCCCTTTGTATTTTTCATGATTTTGTCATTTTCCATATTTAGGTTCAGTTATAGTTTCGGATTATTTAGCAAAAGGGTACATTCGAATTTTCAATATTAGTAATCATGTTAATTTATATTTTAATCTTTTGCATTTTTCCGTGTCATGACTTATTTCTTTTGTTGTTTTCATGTGACTTAAGATGCTTATAAAATATATTTAAATACATGTAGTGCATATAATTTATTTCGTATTATACATGTACTTCACATTATAATAAATATATGTGTATGTTAATTCCGTGAACATTTTTTAACTACAATGTATTTAATTGTGTATAATTAATTAATTAATTTGTTGATATGGAAAATATCCATGAATGTTATGTTAAGATGTTTATAAGTTTACCTCGAAGTTTTATGTATGTACTTGCATGTAATTTTAAAGTTTTCATAGTTGATTTATATGCATGTTAACCTCATATTGCAACTCATCCTAATTACATAATTTGATTAAGGGCAATACACTTTTAATTTAAAATTGTTGGAATGACTTTTCTTAATTCACTAGATGGTTGTTTTCGACGATTTTAAATTAAAAGCGTATCATGTTATTGACACTTTAAAAAATGGTTCGTCACCTTAAAATTTGGGAATGAAAGAAAAGAAAATATTCAACTATTTAAATTTTTCGAGAAAAGGTCGTTAGAACTCACCTAAAGATCTGGTCTCGATATTTTTAAATAATCGAATATTCTTTATCATTCTAATGGCTTGATAATCCTAATTTAACTTATTTTGTTACTTTTGAATAATATAGAACTCGCATTTTTGTTGTTTTAAGGGGTTAAAAATTAAATTAAAGATGAACGTGTAAAATTCGTTGCAAAGACATTAATTAATCGACTAGGTACCGATTTAGGGCGCTGTGGGGGTGCTAATCCTTCCCCACGCGTAATCGACTCCCGAACTCATTTTCTGGTAACTCATACCTCAATTTGTTGTTTTAATTAAAATTAATTTTTATTTAAAATAACAACATTTTTGGGTGCCCAATCATACCCTAATCAAGGATTGGTGGTGACTCTTCGAACCTATATTTTTATCGTGATGGAATTTTTAAATTTTTGAAATGAGAGGTTTTTTAAATCATATTCAGTTTTTAATAAAAATCAATCAAAAAGAAGATAATTAAAATTTGGTGTGGTTTTTTAAAATCTCGCTCACCTTCAAGAAAAAAAACCGTTTCGACACAATGTAAACTATGAATTGCCCCCTTTTCTTTCTTTCAGCAAAAAACAACTCTCTACTTCAATTATTATCAAATAAACATCTTTAAGTTTTTTATATATAAACTATACTGTAGTTAATAACAGAGGGAAAAAAACTATTTACTTAGGGACTTGAACCTGAACCTATGCTTAGGTTCAAACTATATGATTAGACGATATCAGTACCATTGAAGCAAAATTTAATAGTTACTTCTTAGAGAAAATAACCTCAGTTATCGAAAATGCCTTATAATATACGATTTTAACCAACTTTTTTTGGATTTACAAAAATGACCAACAAATTCGCAACGCGAACTCCAATTTCGTAACCCAGTTTCCAAATTCGCAACGCGAATATATAAATCGCAACACAGAAGTCAAATTCGCAACGCAATAGTCAAATTCACAACGCGATAGTCAAATTTGCAACACGATAGTCAAATTCGCAACACTGAAGTCAAATTCGCAACGCGAATCTGTAAATCACAACGCGAATTTGTAAATCGCAACGCGAATTTGTAAATCGTAAAACAGAAGTCAAATTCGTAACACAGAAATCAAATTCGCAACGCGATAGTCAAATTCGCAACACTGAATTTCAAATTCGTAACACAAAACTCAAATTCGCAACGCGATAGTCAAATTCACAACGCGAAAGTCAAATTCGCAAAGCGCGTTTATTTTCGCAACGCGAATTTTATTTTATTTTCGAATTCGAAACACAATATTAATTTTGCAACACAAATGTAAACAGTATTATCGTAAATCATAACCTAAAACCCTAAATCACAACTCAATCTCATCTCCATTTCTCACTCTCTACGACGACATCTGTCTCCATCTCCGATGAAATCCGTCCCCATCTCCGACGAAATCTGTCTATCTTCTTCTCTTAAAGCAACCCTCACAACCATTCACGGTCAGAAATGGAAAATCAACCACCGAGGGTTAGTTTTTTTAATATCTTATTTTTATTTTGAAAATTTTGTATTATTATTAGATTTTTCTTATGTTGATGATAAATTTACTAGTAATTTCAATATATATAGATTAACCATTTCACTGAGATTGCTTAGTAAATTCATTCGGTTGCTGCCAATACTGCTAAACTGTTTAGTCTTTAACCCTGTGAAGTTAGTATTTGTCTTTGTTTTTTGGTTGAAGTAATGCAATTCATTCAAGTTTCAATTTGCAAAATAAGAGTAGTTTCTGAAACTTAAATTCGCAACGAGAAAATAGCAACACAAAAAAACAAAGACAAATACTAACTTCACAGTGTCGCTAATTTAAGTTTCAAGAATAAACTACTGCTCTTTATGTTATCCTTAAACCTGTAGTAAACCTATATGTTGTCATTTTATGTTTATATAAGTTTCTGATGCATTTTGTGAACTATGATGGAATAATGACTTGGGTGAATTCCGTGCTATTTTGAAACATATTTGGCTTTGTTTTCACTATTTAATATCATGTATGTTTATAGTGTATAATTTGTAGTTTTTGGTATATCTAACTTGGTATGTTTATTGTTTTTGTAGAAATATTTTTCGGCTCAATTGACCTTAAGGAATAAATTAAGCCTAGCCACTAAAATTACGTCGACGCTTACACCTCTACAAAGGGCCATGGCTGAAAGTACAACATTCGAGTGGAGATGCTATGTTGACACATTTATTTCTTCAAACCATGACTAACGGTCTACCCGAGAAGATACAACGTGGTGATGAAGAGATATGGTTTCATTTTCCTCCGCTGTATACTTGTTTTGGGCGGGAGGAGTTTTGCTTAATCACTGGTCTACGCTTCGGACACGATGAAGTAACCCGGTACACTAGTCATATCTCCCGCCCATCATGGTTATCTCGGGTTTTTCCTGATCTGGCAAAGTCAAAGCCGAGTATACACGTCGACGACTTGAAGAGATTATTTGTTAAAGATGGTTTTACTCAGATGGATGACCTTGATGTTGTCCGAGTATGCCATTTATTACTTTTGTATGTCGGTTTTTTAGGCAAAGAGGGAAGACAACCTATTTCTGAGGACCTAATATTATTGGTAGAGGACCTAAATGCATGGAACCTATTTCTGTGGGGTTCATATCTATGAAAAGCTACCTGGAAGAAGTTGTCGTCTGCCTTTGAGGAGCGAAAAAGTTTGCGGGGCGATGGTTCTAAATAAACTTTGGTAGGTTTTAGCTGGGCCTTTAAGGTTAGAATTTCTATATAATGTTTCCAAATTTATAATTAATTATTTAACAATTACTGATGTTTGTGTATTATATTGTTTGTAGATTTGGATATTTGAGGCATTTCCCAACATGCAGACATATGCGATAAAAAATTCAAATGATATTCCTAGGGCTATTACCTGGAAGAGGATCCGCATGTTGGATTGGGAAGAGTTACTACCATATACGATGATGAATGATGTAAGTTAACACACAAATAATACCATATAGTTAAACAAGTTATTACTAGTACACGTTTAACTTTGTTTGAGCTTTTATATTGTTAGGAGGCCAACTATCCATTACAGAGGCTGACACCCACAGAGGCTGAGCTTGCCACTGATTGGTGGCAAGTTAGTAAGCAATTTTTTGATGGGACGGATGATGAGCACCCCCTACTTCTAGAGCCATCACCTGATGGGCCGATTCTACAGCTCGACACTCGGAGCCATCACCTGATCGAGCCTCTTCTCCACCTCCACCATCACCTATTCCATCACATCATCGAGCCTCTTCTCCACCATCACCTCATGATAGGCGACCGGCAAAGAGGCTACGACATTTATCTCCCTGTTCTCCACCTCCATGGGATGAGTTACGTGATGAGGTCGGTGCTTTGAGTCATGAGGTCGGTACTTTACGTGAAGACAATGGTGCATGGTGTGATGAGGTACGGTCTTTACGTGGTGAGGTGGATGTTTTACGCGATGACAATGATGCGCTACATGATGAGGTATCTATTTTACGTGATGAGGTAGCCGCTCTACGTGAGATTGTTTCATCGTTGCAAAATGAGGTTCATACTCTACACAATGAGGTAAATTTGTTTAATACTATACTAAAATTGCAAATAATATTTTTTCAGCATTATTTATTTATTTATTTACTGATTTATGTATTAATTTATTTTCAGCGGCTCGATAAGGTAGATGCTTTACGTTGGGTTTTTCTTGTACGATGGGGTTCACGCATCAGACGTCGTGCACGTGCCATTACGGCTTCTTTCACCCCACTAGTGCTAAGACTCCGTAAGAAGAAGCCCGATTCACCTGTCATCGTTTAAGAGGTACCTTCTATCATTCAGGAGGCTCCTCTCATCGTTTAAGAGACCCCTCCCACCGTTCAAGAGGCCTCTATCATCGTTCAATGGGTCCCTCCCACCGTTCAAGAGCCCGATTCATAACACGTCATTTGTCGACATATTGATAAACCCCCTCCCGTGCCCGATATGATGGATGTGTGTTGTCTTTCGTATGAGTTACCGGTCAGTACCATTCCTCAGGAGGAGAGGAAAACACTACCAGACACAATTACGGATAATACCCTTTGGGCTAAGACCGCAATTGATTT